CATCTCTACGTAGCTTATTCTTTTTTATTATTTTACTTTCTTTAAAGACTTTATTATTGGCCCTGATCCAGTACCAGTCTATCCATCCAGAGGGGTAAGTGTGTCCACTCCTGGCTGTCCAGATGCCCCAGGTAGGGAGCACAGGCACCCTCCAATCGCTTAAACTCTCTGGTCATTCAGTGGAGTTTCTCCCCAGCTACCAGCATTCTCTACATATCCCACCCCAGCTTGCCCCCAAGCACCCTTATCCATCTGCGCAGTCCTAGCATCCCCCAACTCAGCCTGCTTCGGGGCTGAGGGTCTGGGGACACAGTGGTGAGTGCAAGGGGTGCAGGGGTTTCTTTGTCCCACCAAGCTGGCATCTACCCTTTGTCTGAGAGGTCCTTCCTCAGCAAGTGGCCCTGATCCAGTACCAGTAGATCCATTAAGAGGGATGCACCACCACAGCCTACTTCAGGGTGGAGAGAAACTGAGAGCCAACTCCAGTACTGAGGGGACCTAAGAGAGGGCAGACCAAGACAAACTCCCAAGTACACAGTTAGCCACAGCAAAGATTGGACCAGGCTGCCAAGACTCTCATAACAGCATTTGAAGGAAGAGATAGGCAGGCACCAATGCAAGAATTCCTCCAACAATCTGAAAAACAACATGATAACACCAGAATCCAACAAACATACAACAGGAAGACTTGAACAACCTAATCCAGAAGAAGTAGAAGGAATAGACTTTAAACGTAACATGAAAGTGATAGAGATCATTAAACAGCATGTGAAAAACTTCTTTAAAGAAATGGATGAGAAGACTAACAAAAAGTTTGAAGAAATGAATAAATGCCTCAAAGATATCCAAGAAAACCAAGCAAAAGCAACCAAACAAGTAATGGAAACAGTTCAAGACTTGAAAACTGAAATGGTGGCAATGAAGAAAACACAAAACAAGAGATGGCAGGAAATGGAAAATCTGGGTAAATAAACAGAAACTACAGAGAAAAGTATAACCAACAGATTACAAGAGCTAGAAGAAAGAATCTCATATGTTGAAGATACTATAGAAGAAATAAAAGTACTGATCAAAGAAAACAGCAAATCCAACAAATTATTAACATAAAGCATCCAGGAAATCTGAGACACCATAAAAAGACCAAACCTAAGAATAATAGGGGTAGAAGAAGAATTACAGCTCAAAATCCCAGAAAATATATTCAACAAAATTATAGAAGAAAACTTTCCCAACCTAAAGAAAGATATTTTTATGAAGGTACAACAAGCATAAAGAACACCAAATAGACTGGATCAAAAAAAAAAGCATCCCCTCGTCATATAATAATCAAAACACAAAACATACAGAATAAAGAACAAATTTTAAGAGCTGCAAAGGAAAAAGGTCAAGGAACATATAAAGGTAAACCAATCAGAATTACACCTGACTTCTCAATGGAAACCATGAAAGCCAGAAGGTCTTGGATAGATGTACTGCAGACACAAAGAGACCACACATGAAACTACTATACCCAGCAAAGCTTTCTTTCACCATCGATGGAGAAAACAAGATATTCCAGGACAAAAACAGATTTAAACAATACATTGCCACAAACCCAGCCTTACAGATACTAGAAGGAAAAATCACAAAACGAGGAAGCCAACAACACCCATAATAACACAAGCATCTGACAACCCTCCACCAGAACAACTCAAAGAAGGGAAACACACAATCTCTACCACCAGAAAAATAACCAGAATAAACAACCACTGGTCATTAATATCACTTAATATCAATGGACTCAATTCACCTATAAAAAGACACAGGTTAAGAGAATGGATATGAAATCAGGATCCAACATTCTGTTGTTTACAAGAAAAACACCTCAAACTCAAAGACAGACACTACCTCAGAGTAAAGGGTTGGGAAAAGGCTTTCCAATCAAATGGTCCAAAGACACAAGTGGGTGTGGCTATACTAATATCTAACAAAATTGATTGCAAACTAAAATCAATCAGAAGAGATGGAGATGGACACTTTATACTCAAAACAGGAACAATTCATTAGGAGGAAGTCTCAATCCTGAATATCTATGCCCCTAATATAAAAGCATCCACACATGTAAAGGAAAGATTACTAGAACTCAAAGCATACATCAAACCATACACTCTAATAGTAGGAGATTTCAACCAAGTAGGAGACCCAACTAAGAAAGAGAATTACAGACCAATCTCACTCATGAACATCAATGCAAAAATTCTCAATAAAATTCTCGCAAACAGAATCCAAGAACACATTAAAAAATATCCATTATGATCAAGTAGGCTTCATGCCAGAGACGCAGGGCTGGTTCAACATATAAAAATCTATCAATGTAATCCATCATATAAATAAACTAAAAGAAAAAATCATATGATCATTTCATTAGATGCTGAAAAATAATCTGACACAATTCAACATCACTTTATGATAAAGGTATTGGAGAGGTTAGGGATACAAGGATCATACCTAAATAAAATAAAAGCAATATATAGCAAGCCAACAGCTAATATCAAATTAAATGGAGAGAAAGTCAAAGCCATTCCACTAAAATCAGGAACGAGACAAGACTGTCCACTCTCTCCATACCTGTCAACACAGTGCTAGGGGTTCCAACAACAGCAATAAGACAACACAAGGAGATTAAGGGGATTCGAATCAAAAAGGAAGAAGTCAAACTTTTGTTATTTGCAGATGATATGATAGTGAACATTAGAGCCCCAAAAACTCTACCAAAGAACTCCTACAGCTGATAAATACCTTCAATGATGTGACAGGTTACAAGATCAACTCAAAAAAAAAAAAAACCCAGTAGCCCTCCTATACACAAAAGATAGAGAAGCAGAGAAGGAAATCAGAGAAACTTTACCTTTTATGATAGCCACAAATAGCTTAAAGTATCTTGGGGTAACTCTAACCAAGGAAGTAAAAGATCTATTTCACAAGAACTTTAAATCTTTGAAGAAAGAAATTGAAGAGCATACCAGAAAATGGAAGAATCTCCCATGCTCTTGAATGGGTAGGATCAACATAGTAAAAATGGCAATTTTACCAAAGGCCATCTGTAAATTCAATGCAATCCCCATTAAAATCCCAACAAAATTCTTCACAGACCTTGAGGAACAATAATCAACTTTATATAGAAAAACAAAAAACCCAGGATTGCCAAAACAATCTTATACAATAATGGAACTTCTGGAGGCATTACCATCCCTGACTTCAAACTCTATTACAGAGCTACAGTAATGAAAACAGCTTAGTATTGGCATAAAAACAGAGAAGTTGACCAATGGAATCGAATAGAAGACCCAGATGAACTGTAAAAATTAAGAGGTTTTCTTCATCTTTACTCTATATCTCTCTTTTTCTGACCACATGAGTCTTTAATTTGCTAGGCAATATGGCTAGAATTAAAGCTGTGGCTTTGATGGCTGGATCCAGCCCATTCTTTAGTTTTCTGAGATTCTAGCCTCATGGGGGAGGTACCAGCTATAGCCATGTTTATAGCCATGTTTATTGCCACAACTGTATGGTGTTTCAAGGTCCCTGCCACCAAGCAAGCTGCAGCAGTCTGCTCACAAACCACAGTCAAATGCTCTATAGCCGAGCCTCCTGCCTGAAAGAGTCCGAGTTTGCACTGGCAGAATGGCCCAGAAAGCCGGCATTTTAAAACAGTGTGGCTTTTTCCTGCTACAGCTGAAAACCAAAAAGCATGTGGTCAGGTTTTTATCAACACCATTTAAGTATTTCATGACAGGACTTCTTCAAAGAGCTGCAAGGTTTTACAGCTAAAGCTGAGTCAGGAAGCCTCTTTTTTTTTTTATTGAGAAAAGGAAAAAAAGTTTCCGCCTCCTCCCAGCCTCCCATTTCCCTCCCTCTCCTCCCACCATTCTCCCCCTCCCCCCACTCCTCTCCCCTCCCTCTCCAGTCCAAAGAGCAGCCAGGGTTCCCTGCCCTGTGGAAAGTCCAAGGTCCTCCCCCCTCCATCCATGTCTAGGAAGGTGAACATCCAAACTGGCTAGGCTCCCACCAAGCCAGAACATGAAGTAGGATCAAAACCCCGTGCCATTGTCCTTGGCTTCTCAACAGCCCTCATTGTTCGCCATGATCAGAGAGTCCAGTTTTATCCCATGCTTTTTCAGTCACAGTC